TGGCTTTGAACTGGTATTCTCAGATCTCAACTTCCTTAGTAGCTAGGATTACAGACATGAGCCACCAGGGTCCAGCAGACCTTTCCTTTTATTTGGAAACTTTATTGCATGTAGCTGTTCCTAACTTCTCAGATGTTGTAGAGTGGTGAGTGCTTTCATAGGAATTTTTTTTGTCGGTCGTAGGGCTTGAACTCTGGGCTTGGGCGCTGTCCCTGAGCTCTTGACTCAATGCTAGTGCTTTACCACTTGAGCCACAGTGCCACTTCCAGCCTTTTCTGTTTATGTGGTGCTGAGGAATCGAACCCAGAGCCTCATACATGGGAGGTAAGTGCTCTACCACTGAGCTACTGTCCCAGTCCCTTCATAGGAATTTTTTTTAGGATAATAGAGAACAATCTTTTGCTTTTTGCTTTTTTTGGTATGGGGGTTTGAACTTTGGGTTTAGCACTTGCTAGGCCAGATGTTCTTCCACTTCAGTCACACTTCCCGCCCTATAAACCATTTTCATTGAGATTCCCTATGCTATCTTGATATATAATTGCAATGTACTTCAAAAGTATTCACTTGACATCTTTTCTTTTTCCCTTTCTCCTGTCCTCTCCATCTCCCTGATCAGTTCCGCATGTTCTCTTTCTGTGTGTATTTTGTGTGTATATTTTTATGTAGGTGTAGTACATATCTTTCTATAAATATGTATATCCTTTAGCTCTAGCTTCCACAAATGAGTCAAAACACATTATTTTAGTTTTTAACTTAGCTTATTTTGTTCAACATGATAATCTCAATGATACATCCATTTTCTAGAAAATGACATGATTTTGTGGTACTGAGGAATTGAACTCAGGGATTCATACATGCTAGGCAAGTCTTACTTCCAGCAATTTTTTGATGCATAATTGGAGAAAAGAGTCTCATAGAGTACTGCTTTGAACCATGATCCTCAGATCTCAGCCTCCTCATTAGCTAGGAGTATAGACACTGGCACCTGGTGGAAACCAGTTTTTTTCATGGAAATCAACATAGCCAGCTTAATTCAAATTATTTGATTTTGTTTCATCCATATTCACAGAAGCATTTGTAATTAAATGTTAGTTTATTGGTTGTATATTGTTTTTGGTGGTGCAGAGTTGAATTCCTTCCTACTCAAGTACTCTGCTACTTAAGCCATACTATCCCCCCCCCCCCGTTTTGCTTTAGGCATTTTTCAGATAGGGTCTTGTGCTTCTGTCGAGGATAGCCTAAGACTGATACTCCTGCCTATGCTTACTGAGTAGCAAGAATTACAGGCCTTGCCTTCCCACCTCCAGCTTGCTTTTTTGTCGGTCGTGGGGCTTGAACTCTGGGCTTGGGCACTGTCCCTCAGCTCTTCAGTTCAAGGCCAGCGCTCTACCACTTGAGCCACAGCGCCACTTCCCAGCTTGTCTGAGATAGTCTTGGTAATCTTTTTGTTTTGGCTGACTTCATACCATCTATTTCTGTCGTACATCTCCCCACTTACTGGGATTACAAGTGTGTACCACTACACCCAGCTTTGGTATCTTTCTCAGTACCAACAGATAGACCTGTGAGTTATCTTCATAAGAGCTTTCTACCATTTGTGGAAGTTTTGTTGTAAATATGTGTATAATAGGGAATGCCTCCATATTGCTATTAGTCTCACTAGGGTCAGAAAATGGCAAGAGAATTTACTTTTTCTCAAGAGAGAAGGAAATAAAGCAATTGAAAAGAGAAAAAAGATACTTCTTTCATAGTGAAAAAGTGGTAACAGAAAGTAATTAGGTTACAGAAAAAATGGTAACCTAACAAATGAGTTTTTAGTGCTTGTATTAGTACTCTTATTGCTGTCTTAAAGAATTGAAACATGGGGCTGGGAAGGTGGCTCAGTGGTAGAGTGCTTGCCTTGCATGCATGAGGCCCTGGGTTCACTTCCTCAGCACCACATAAGCAGAAAAAGCCAGAAGTGGCGCTGTGGCTCAAGTGGTAGAGTGCTAGTCTTGAGCTGAAGAGCTGAGGGACAACACCCAGGCCCAGATCTCAGGCCCCATGACTGGCAAAAAAAAAAAAAAAAAAAGAATTGAAACATGATTTGGAGTAAAGTGGTAGTTTATTAGAGATACAAGTCTCAGGATTTTCCTACCTGGGCTAGCTTCAAACTGTGTTCCTCAGATTTCCTGCTCCTGAGTATTTAGCATTACATGTGTGAGCTACCTGCTCCAGCCAGCACATATTTTCAAGTATGACAGGAAGAATGCTTTTGAAATAATGCTTCCTCCCCGCCCCACACTGTGGCTTGAATTTAGGACTAGGATATGGTTCCTGGGCTGTTTTGCTCAAGACTAGTGGCTCTACCACTGACGCCCAGCTGTGTTATGCTTTTGAAACAACTAATATCCTATTTTCATCTATTTGTGAATAAATCTCTTTTCTTTATTACTATTATGTTAGAAATTAGGAACGACCAGGTTCATTTCTGGTTAATAGGAGATAGTCTCATGGACTTTTCTGCCCAGGCTTGCTTCTTTGATCATTAGCTCTCACCTTCCTAAATAAATAGCTATGAAGATTATAGGCCTGAGCCACTAGTCCCTGGCAGTTATTTTCATTTTTAAAATGGTCATTATCATATTCTTCCTATTTCTGAGTTTTAATTCTTACTGTCCTGAGTAACTAGAATTCACTATTTTCTCTTTTTTAGTTTCCTGTTTATAATTAAGGAAAATTGAAGTAATGCATCTTTTGTATTTTTAGGCACGGATAGCATTTTTACAAGGTGAAAGAAAAGGTCAGGAGAATTTGAAGAAGGATTTAGTAAGAAGAATAAAGATGTTAGAATATGCATTAAAACAAGAAAGGTATGTATGGGTCATTTTTTCATATAATTGTTACAATATTGTGTTTATGCACAGTTTCTTCGACGTTTTTATTTTAAATAAAAGATACTTTTATGGGATATGTATTTATGGAATATGTATTTATATGGGATATATATGGGAAAAGGCAATTCAGATAGTTAAATTGAAATAATGTTTTTAGTCTAGAATCTCAGTTTGGGATTTTTTTTTTTCCTTGATGACTAGGCACTTTAGGAGCTTGAATTCAGGGTTTGGATGCTGTTCTGAGAATTTTTTTTTCCCCCCCTCAAGTCTGGCACTCAACCACTTGAGCCATCTCTCAACTTCTGACTTTTTTGGTGCTTGATCAGAGGATTTCCCAGCCTTTCTTGATGAGGCTGGATAGTAGTCACTAGTACCAGTCTAGGAACTTTTTTTTTTTGAACTCTGGGGCTGGGGCCTGAACTCAGGGCCTGGGCGCAGTCCCTCCACTTTTCAGCTCAAGGCTAGCACTCTACCTCTTGAGCAGCCACAGTACCACTTCCAGCTTTTTTTGTTTGTGTGGTGCTGAGGAATCGTACCTAGGGCCTCAGGCATGCAAGGCAAGCACTACCACTGAGCCACATTCCCCTCCTTGAACATTTTTTTTAAAAAAAATCTTCTTTTGAAGATATTTTTTTACTTGAACAATTTTCTTTTAAAAAATCATTGTAAAGGTGATGTACAAAGGAGTTACAGTTAAATAATTATGGTAATGAGTACATTTCTTTTTGAACAGTATTGTCTCCTTCCTCATTTTCTCCCACTTCCCCCTCATCCCTCCCTCCAACTAGTAAACTTCATTTCTAGCATAATGTCTAGTGGGTATCACTGTTGCATTGGTTCTCCCTTTGTCCCACCATTTTTGTCATTTCCCAGCCCTTCCCCTAAGCTGATAAACTTGATATTCAAGACAAAGGGTACAGAAATACAAAACAGTGGCATCAAGAAATAACCCAAAGGAGGAAAAAAGAAAGAAAAAAGAAATAACAGCAAACACTACACTTAAAAAAAAGCTCAGGGCTGGGAAGGTGGCTCAGTGGTAGAGCGCTTGCCTTGCATGCCTGAGGCCCTGGGTTTGATTCTTCAGTGCCACATAAGCAGAAAAAAATAAGCTGGAAGTGGCGCTGTGGCTCAAGTGGTAGAGCGCTAGCCTTGAGCTGAAGAGCTGAGGGACAGTGCCCAGGCCCAGAGTTCAGGCCCACAACCAACCAAAAAAAAAAAAAAGGAGCTACTGTGATCCTCTGCTAAGAATATCTTAACATATTCTAGTTGGGCATTTTTCTTTTCTTTTTTTCTTTTTCGTCGGTTGGGTCCCTAGGTGCTGTCCCTCAGCTCTTCAGCTCAGGTCTAGTGCTCTACCACTTGAGCTACAGCGCCACTTCCGGTTTTCTGGTGGTTTATTGGAGATAAGAGTTTCATGGACTTTCCTGCCCCAGGATCCTCAGATATCAGCCTCCAGAGTAGCTAGGATTACAGGCGTGAGCCACCGGCGCCCAGCTGCATTTTTCTTTTTGTGGTTTTATTGTTATTATTAAGGTGTTTTACCAGAGGGATTACCATTTCATAAGTCATGTAGTGAATAACTTTGTTTTGGGGCAGTGTCACCCATTCCTTCGTTTTACCCCAGTTTTCCTCTTCCATCCCTGCCTACAAATTACATAGGTTATTTTCTCCACAGTGTATGAAAGCATGATTATATTTATTTATCCTTCCTCCCTCCTTTTCTGTATCTCTCCTTTTGCCCCCTAAAAGAAAAAAAAATAAACACAAAGACCACTGCTGCCAAGAATAACAACAAAAACACCATGTTTCCATTTGCTGGAGTTCATGTTTTTCATTGCTCCTAACAAGTAAACTTTTAAGATGCTTGTGTTATTCTTTGTTATTGGATTGATATTTGTATTCTCTTACCTGTAGAAAAGGAAATAATTACTCTTTTACCAATTTACTATTAAATTTTCAGGGCAAAATATCATAAATTAAAATATGGCACAGAACTGAATCAAGGCGATTTGAAAATGCCAACCTTTGAATCAGGTAACGTGATTCTTCTGTCACTTCTGTTTTAAGCTCATTTCTGTGTAACAGACTTATTCTTTGTCATCTTTTTGCTTTGATGGCTTTAGATAAATAATTGAATATTATAAACAGTCCTAAAATTTTGGAAAAATATTAACCGCATAAAATAGTACTTTAATGTACATCAGTTCTAAAATCCTATTTCCCTGCATTTAGATCAATATAAAAACAATGGGTATGTTTTTTTGTAATAATGAGAATGAGAAGATACTAAATTATTTTTCTACCTGTAGGTAATTTTCATTTATTATATGAGCTTAATTTTTTTATTATTTAAAAAGTCCTTTTTTTTACCTGGAGTTATAACTAAGTCATTTTAGTCCTAATATATTAGAAATTTTACTAGATTTGTAAACTGTAGTGAAGGCCCATATGTTAAAGGGAAGGTTAAAGAAAAGTATTTTCAACTGGCCTTGCTGTTTACTAACTGGGGACTGTGAGGATAGTGTCTGTAAATGAAGAGGACCAGATATAGAAAAGAGCCAACAATTTAATGTTAATTTTAAGACTCCAGGTGATTTGAGTTTGAGGAATCTAAAATAATTTTTAACTCTATAGGATTTGAGAATGTTAATAGCAATTTCTAATTTTCATTAAAAAATTTGAGCTGCCTTTATTGATGGCAGTTGCAATATCATACTTCATTAATATTCTGATATTGTTGTTTTCTCTCTTTTTTTTGTCGGTCATGGGGCTTGAACTCTGGGCCTGGGCGCTGTCCCTCATCATCTCAAGGCTAGCGCTCTACCACTTGAGCCACAGTGCCATTTCCGGCTTTTTTCTGTTTATGTGGTGCTGAGGAATCGAATCTAGGGCCTCGTGCATGCGAGGCAAGGACTCTACCACTGAGCCAACTTCCCAGTCCCTGTAATAAATACATTTTTAACTAATGTGATGCTGAATAAGATAATGTGTCTAAGCATTTTCTTTTCTTTATAAACAATAACTATATAAAAAATCAGGAACATACAGTTTTTCTTATTTCTCAAGAACCGTTAAGTCAACCATTGAAAATGTGTTCAACATTATATATGAAGACTCCACTAATAATTATCTTTAAGTAACTTAGTTTATCATATTTGAAGCTTGAATTACACACACACACACACACACACACACGCACGCGCGCGCGCGCGCGCTTGTGGGGGGGGTGGCACAGGAGTTTGGACTCTGGGCTTTGTGCCATGCAAACTTTCTACCGGGGCTTAGCTTCAAAGCAGGATCCTGAGTTACAGGAATGAAGCACCATATACTGCTAATATATACATTTTTTTATGTCTAGTCAGATTGAAGCTTATACTGTTCTTGAATGCTAGCTAAGCACAAAAATAGCTTTTATTTGGATATATTATTTGTTGTTCTGTAGCTTTTTTCTGTACTTAATAAAAAATCAAAGCATATAATATGGCAATAAAACTTACTATGAATTTGTTTAGTGTGGTATATAGTTAATTTAAAAAATCTAGTTCATTGTTTGTGTATGTACTAAGTACTTAGGATTTGGCAGAAATGTACCATATATACCATAATATATATTGTAAAGTTGATTGTTTTAAAAATCTCTTCCATTTTACTTTTGGCAGCAGAATCATTTATCTTCTAGTTAAAATTGAGAGAGCATGGTAGTTTTTTGATGTTAGGGCCAGTGGTTAGTTTTTTTTTTTTGGTCCGGTCGTGGGGCCTGAACTCTGGGCCTGGGCGCTGTCCCTCAGCTCTTCAGCTCAAGGCTAACGCTCTACCGCTTGAGCCACAGCGCCACTTCCGGCTTTTTTTTCTTTTTGCTTATGTGGTGCTGGGGAATTGAACCCAGGGCCTCATGCATGCAAGGCAGGCGCTCTACCACTGAGCCACCTTCTCAGCCCCAGGGCCAGTGGTTAGTAAAATTTATTCCAACTCCAGAAAGCAAAGTGTGACCTCCTTGGAAAACCAAGAATAAATGATAGAAAATAGAGCTGTGTTTACTACCATTATCCTGTTCTAGTCAGAAGTAGTACTGACTTCACCAGGAAAAATTGGAATGATTCAGAGACTTTTCTTTTGTTCATTTTCTTTCCAGTGTTTTTAGAATATTCATGAAACAAGCAAAATACATTTTAGAACTTAGAAGCTATGCCTCTGTTGGTCATTGTTAAATTATATTTTGACAATGTCTTAAAAAACTGTAATAGGGAAGAAAAGCATCTGATTTTAATATTAGTGAATTGATTATATTAATAGGTATATATTTTAATGGAATATTATATAATTATTTTGTGGTAGTGGAGGTGAAGATAAAAACCAGGGCCTTTTGCATGCCAGTTAAGTGTTCTACTATTAATACATACCTCCAACTCAGTGTAATCACTTCTAAGTGATGTTGTTCTATTTTACTGTAGAAAGAATGATGAGAATGCATTAAATAGCAAAACCAGATTATAGCATAATACATACTTTCAAAAGAAGTAGAGTTGTTGAGTTATGTGAGTATTTTCAGGGAGAAAAAGAAAACTGAGGGCTGGGAAGGTGGCTCAGTGGTAGAGCACTTGCCTTGCATGCATGAGGCCTTGGGTTCGATTCCTCAACACCACATAAGCAAAAAGAAAAAAGCCGGAAGTGGCGCTGTGGCTCAAGTGGTAGAGTGCTAGCCTTGAGCTGAAGAGCTGAGGGACAGCGCCCAGGCCCAGAGTTCAGGCCCCACAACTGGACCAAAAAAAAAGAAAAAAAAAAAAAAAAAGAAAACTGAAACTCCAGTGTGTAGGTAACTCTTGGTGATAGGATTTTGAAGCATTTTATTTTCCTTTTTTTTCCCCCCAAAAAAGATACTTTTGCTGGGTGCCAGTATCTCACACCTGTAGTTTTAGCTACTAAGGAGATTGAGATGTAGAGCATCCGTGGTTTGAGACCAGCTCATGCAAAAAAGTTTGATAGACTCCATTTCTATAATAACCAGAGAAAAGCAGGCCTAGGAGCATGGCTCAAGTGGTAAAACACCAGCCTAGCAAGTATGAGATCCTGAGTTCAAACCCTAGTACTGCCAAAAACAAAACAAAGACATGTACTTTTCCAGTGATGATTATGTATTATTTTAAATTAAATGAAATGTTATGAATAGAAAAATAAGTAGGAAAATTATTAGAATGAAATATTTCTACAACTCAGAGGATTGCTTGTATATAGAGGATGAATAAAATATCAGGAGATTGTTAGTGTTGGGAGAAATAATGTCTGTAGATTATTTTAAATACTGCTAATACACTCAAAGTGACTAAGGAAAGTATAAGAGCTTAGTAACTGAACCGTTCTTTTTGTTGTTGTTGTTGTTGTCTGAGGATTGAACCTATGGCCCTGCACATGCTGTGGTCAAGCCACTAGCTATTGACCTCCCCCTGCCTAACTATCCATTCTTAACAGTTCTCAAGGTTGTGTGAAGCTTGAATTTCTAAGCTCATCTCTTCTCCATTTCTCTTCTTTGTGTTAATAGAAATTTATGAGAAAACATTACTATTTAGTGTCCAAAGTAGTTTTAAATTTTACTCTTTATTAAATGTGTTAAAGGTTGTAATTTCTAAAAATTTGCATTTTTTCAATGCCAGGATTGACCTTAGGGCTTTACACATGCTGCTAAAGCATGCTGAATTTAAACTTATATATATATATACATATACCTTGTTCTCTTAGAATAAAGTAACGACTGTTTGCCTTTTACAAAACCTGTTTCTGAATTGGGTATGATGACACATTCCTGTAATGCCAGCAATTGGGAGACTGAGATGGGTGCATTGTTAGTTTGAGGCCAACCTGGCTTATCATAGTAAGATCATATCTAAAAACAGAATGATTTTCTGGTTTAACTTTCTATTTTAAAAATGAAATTAGTGGGCTGGGGGTGTGGATAAAATGATAGAACAGGGAGGCCCTGGGTTTAACTAACTACAAAAAGAGACAATAATAAATTATCTAGAAAAAGTCTTGAGTTGTACATTTAAGGTTTAATGATAGAAATTCAGAGTTATTCCGTATTGTTACATATATCCAGTAATACCGGTCCTTGGGTTTGAAGTCGGGCCTTGGTGCTGTCCCTGAGCTTTTTTGCTCAAGGATAGCACTCTATCATTTGAGTCATAGCTCCACTTTTGTTTTTTATTTTTTGTTTTGTTTTTTATTTTTTAGCCAGTCCTGGGCCTTGAACTCAGGGTACTCTACCACTTGAGCCACAGTGTCACTTCCAGCTTTTTCTGTGTTATGTGGTACTGAGGAATCGAATCTGGGGCTTCATGCATGCTAGGCAAGCACTGTACCACTAAGCTTCATTCCCAGCCTTGTCACTTCCGGGTTTTTGGTGGTTAGTTGGAGATAAGCGTCTGACTGACTTTCCTGCCCTAACTAGGCTTCAGTCTGTGAGCCTCAGATCTCAGCTTCTTGAGTACCTGGGATTCCAAGTGTGAGCCATTAGTGCCTGGAGCTTTTTAATTTAAAGGACTTTTTGACATTGCAGAATTCTTTTTTTTTTTTACAGTTAAAGAATCTTATTTTATTGAGGTATGTTAGTTAGCAAAGTTACAGGATGAAAGAGTGACTCAAAGAGACATCCTTAAAAGTTGCCTGGTATGGTGGTGCAGGCCTGTAATTCTGTGTCAGGAGACTGAGTCTGGCAATTGTGGATTCTAGAAGACCTGTCTCCCAAACAGCAACAGATCCCATTAAAAAAAAAACAAAAACAAAAACAAAAAACACTAAAAACTTTTCCCCAAATTGAAAAATCAAGAATGTTATCTTCTGTGTTTTTTTTTTTTTTTTGTCGGTCGTGGGGCCTGAACTCTGGGCCTGAGTGCTGTCCCTCAGCTCTTCAGCTCAAGGCGAGCGCTCTACCACTTGAGCTACAGCGCCACTTCCAATCTTCTGTGTTTTATATGTAGGATTCTATTTCCAAATTCACTTAGTTTTATTTTTTTCTGGTTTTGAAAAAAAAACAAATGTTTATTTTATTAAACTCAGAAAATTATGAAAAAGTTATGAAAATTATGAAAGTTATTTCTTAGTGATAACTGTTAAGATTCAGCAGACTTTCTTCTAAACTTGTTCCAGAATATCTAATGTCCCGACCCGCAGGACGTCAACGAGGGCAGTGAACCTAAGCTAGAAGGAATGAAGGGACAAGAGACACAAAGAATGACAGCAAGACAAGGGTTCTGATCAAGCTGCAAATTGTTATTTCTCACACAGGGGTATTTATATGCTTGGAATAAGGAAGCTTTTTCATTGGCCATTAAGGAAGCTTTTTAATTGGCCATAGCAGTGACATTGCAGAATTCTTATAGCCAAAAAAAAAAAAATTATATCCAAGTCTGGGCTTTTGACTTTTGAATTCTCTAGAGTAATAAAAGTACATTTGGGTTTTCTCAATTTTGAGATGGATAATTAACTTACCTCAGTGAGTTGAACTACTGTAGCAAGCATTAAAAATGGGTGACCCATAATAACTCTTAAGTGAATTTTTTATCCTGTATAAAAATATTTAAGTATATTTATTTGGAGTTTATTCCTAGGACACTTTGGTACTCTTTTCAAGAGTTGAAATGTGTGTAAAACTTCATTCTTTATTTTCAGAAGAAACCAAAGACACCGAGGCCCCCCCAGCACCTCAGAATAGCCAGTTAACATGGAAACAGGGCAGGCAGCTGCTAAGACAGTGAGTAATGGTTTATTTTAGTGCTCTTCAATAATAAAATAGTGACAACAGTGCTTGTAGTGAGTCCATTTGCAAGCAAAACGATCATTTAATAATAGTGATGCCACGCATGGGCTTTCATACTGCTTTTCTGTTTTGAAAATACTTGGACCTTGTTTAAAGTTTATTTCCTCTGAGCTTCGGATGTTTGGAAAACATTTTATTGTGGGATAGAGTGTCTAAAAGATTTGTATGCCTTGAAGTCTAGAACAAAACAGTATACTGTTCATTGTTCTAGACCTATTCAACTATGCTACTGCAAAAGTTGTATTTGGTTTCTCTTAAGTCAAGACGTGACTGTTTAAGGAATAAATTTAACTGGATATCTGAAATTTTTCAGAGGTGACTTGCCAAATTATTTTTTTGAATAAACTTTTGAGGAAGCTGATATTATATGAATTCATTGTTATATTGAAAATACTTCATCAGATCCTGTTTATTGTCTTTTCTATAATTTTTCTTTTCCTTATAGTTAAAAAAAATCTGGTACATGTGATACCTACTAATATCCAAACATCTTCACTTTTACTAACCATGTCACCCAGAACTATGTTGCCTTGGAGTATTCTATAATCTGTCATAATCTTTAGATCCTTGATCATTTTCTTTTCTTTTTATCTCCTCTACACATAGTTGCTTTACATCTTTTTCTTCTGCTCCAGCTTAGATCTCATGGTTCATGATTTGCCTTTTCCTAGTGCCCACTGGTTACCCCTTTGCCACCAGTCATTTTATTATACTTAGCTATAAAACCCCAGCCTGAGCTTTGTCTTACTACTATATTTACTTTCATTTCTAATTAATTTCTAGTCTAATTAACTTCTGTTTTTTACTTGTCTTGGTGAAAAATCACAGAATATCATGATTGCAGAAAGCCTTTTCCCTTCATCCTGTTCAGTTCCCATTTTGTTGTCCTCAGTGGATACACTATAAACTTGCACAGTGAGTCCATTCTCCTTTGCTTTCAGTAGAGCACTTAAGATTCTCCACTGAAAATAAAGCTTTCATCTTTCTGAAAATGAATTTAAACTTTTATTCTATCAGTTCTTATACTCTATTATAAGTAACAAAAATGTGAACAAAAGAACATTTTTGGAAGCCAACTGGATAAAGAGAGCTAGAGAAAACTGATCAACTTAGTGTCAAGAAGTCAGGTAGCTCAGAGGACCTTTTAGAGTGTGAAAATAATCCAGGATGTAATCTTATTCTTTGGTTTCTGCTCATCTCTTTTTAGCTTTGTTCTGTTTTTCTGTAGGGGGAAAAAGAAACCCACCAAAAATCAATTTCTGAGGCAGATTCAGATTGGTCTGAGTTGACCAAATAACTGCTTATGAATTTTTACCTAGGCTATAGAGGACCTTTAAAGGTCATTAAAACCAAAGGTTAGCGAGTAGTGAGGAGTGTTGTTCCTGAAGTGGAATGCATTGTTTAGAAGACAGCTGTATTAAAATCCTCTGTACAGTATTGCATAAATATTTAACCTTATTACCTGGATAGGTGCTTTGTCTGTTGGCCTTTCTTTTTACCTGTGACTTCATAGCCAAACTTCTTTTTTTTTTTTTATTTTTTTATTGTGAGAATACAGCACAGAGGAATTACAAATGGGCAAGATAACGAGTTCATAGCCAAACTTCTAAGAGTAGTTTCTGTGGTCCTTTATCTTCATAGTTTTCCTTCTTGTTCATAGCTGCTTTTTTGTTTTTGTGGGTGTTTCATTTTTTTTCCTCTACTTTCTCTGATACTGGGGCTGGAGTTCAGGGGCTCCCACTCACTCATTCAGCTTTTCAATCACAGCTGGTGCTCTTATCACTTGAATCATCAGGAGCAAAGTTGTGCTGGTATTGGAGATTCAATTCAGCACTCTGTGCTCTAGCTTAGCTTTTCTATTCAAGGCTGACTTGAGCCTTACCTGTACTTCCCATAGCTGTTTTAAGTGTTTTTTGTTTTTTGTCAGTCGTGGGGCTTGAACTCTGGGCCTGGGCGCTGTCCCTCAGCTCTTCAGCTCAAGGCCAGCGCTCTACCACTTGAGCTACAGCGCCACTTCCGGTTTTCTGGTGGTTTATTGGAGATAGGAGTCTCACGGTCTCTCCTGTCCCGGGCTGGCTTTGAACCACGATCCTCAGATCTCAGCCTCCTGAGTAGCTAGGATTACAGGCGTGAGCCACCAGCGCCCGGCTCTACTGTTTCTTATAAGGCAGTGTGACTCTATAAAGACCAGAGATTTAGTGCTTCTTCTCATACTTATTTCTTCATTTCCTAAAGCCCCCATGTGGTTCTTGTCAAGTAAATTCTGGTTTATCAACTTTTCTTACCATCTGCAAGTTCTAATAGGTCACAGTTTGTGACCTGCTTGCTTTTCTGCTAAGTCATTAAGAATTCTAATTTAGCTGGGTTGTGTTGTCTTAACCCCTGTAATCCTAGCTACTCTGGAGATGTAGATCTGAGGATCATAGTTCAAAGTCAGCCAGGGAAAGAAAGTCCATGAGACGCTCATCTCCAGTTCAGCACCAGAAAAGCTGGAAGTGGAGCTATGGCCGAAGTGGTAGATCACTGGTCTTAGAAACAAAACTCAGGAGCAGTGCCCAGATGCTGAGGTCAAGCCCAAGGACTGGCACCAAAATAAACAAACAAATAAAAAAATAAAATAAAATAAAAATTTAGAGATGAGGTTAAGATATCCTTAATATAACAGGTAAGATGAGATTGTTGACTAGAATATGTTGGCTCTTTTGAAGCTGATTTCCTCTCCCTCTTTTTTTTTTTTTTTTGTCGGTCGTGGGGCTTGAACTCCGGGCCTGTGCGCTGTCCCTCAGCTCTCAAGGCCAGCGCTCTACCACTTGAGCTACAGCGCCACTTCCGGTTTTCTGGTGGTTTATTGGAGATAGGAGTCTCACAGTCTCTCCTGCCTGGGCTGGCTTTGAACCGCGATCCTCAGATCTCAGCCTCCTGAGCAGCTAGGATTACAGGCCTGAGCCACCAGCGCCCGGCTGTTTTAAGTTTTTTATTTGACATTTTCCTGAAACTGCTCTCATAGCATGTTCTAGATACCCTTTTGAATTCATATTTGACCTCTTGAACTATTAGACCTTTTTTTTGGTGGAGGTACTGGAGTTTGACCTCAGGGATTTGTATTTGCTAGCCAAGCATTTTACCATTTAAGCTACACTTCCCTTCCTTGATATCACTCTTTGCTGTTATTTCCTTTCTCCTAATTTTTTTTCTTTTGTCCGTCATGGGGCCTGAATTCTGGGCCTGAGCACTGTCCCTCACCTCTTCATCTCAAGGCTTGCTTTCTACCACTTGAACCACACTCCCATTTCCTCCCCTAATTTTTTTAAGTACTTTGATTTTCTTTGAGTTTTTCTTAGTCTTCTTTTCCTTATAAATTGCATTTGCATTGCTTTCTCTTCTTGGGCTTGTTATGTAGGTGAACACATTTAAAAATCCATAGAAAATATTATTAGTTACTTTTGCGTAGGTATGGCCAAAATCAATGTTAGAAACCAAATAAAAGGAGGAAAGATTTATTTTAGCTCAGAGTTTTGGGATATTTAGTCTGTGTGGTCACTTGGATCCAGGTTTCTGTGTTGAGACAGAGCATGGGACTGGAAGCATGTTGATAAGGAGACTCAGAGACTCTACCTCAGGCTGGTTAGCCAGGAAGACAGACATTAAGAGGTCAGAGATAAGATACTCTCAAGGAGCAAGAATCCATTTTCTCTATCTTGGTCTCACCTCCTGAAATTTCCTGAAACTTCACTATTAATAGTATTACCATCTGGGAACCAGAGCCCTCAAGACATAAGCCATTGGAGGTGGGGGACAAATGTAAACTGTATGCATTTTTTCAAAGTACGACAACCATCAAAGACTAAAGATCTAAATTTGTATATCCAATCCAGTCTCTTCTGAATTTTATTAATAGACCTTTTTGTTTGTTTGTTTTTAGTTACACTGGTGTTTCCACATCTACAGCCCCCTTTTTATCTTGGTTATTTTTGAGGGGGGGGCGGGGTCCGGTAGTGGGCCTGAACTCTGGGCCTGGGCACTGTCCCTGAGCTCTTCAGCTCAAGGCTAGCGCTCTACCACTTGAGCCACAGCGCCACTTCTGGCTTTTTTCTTTTTGCTTATGTGGTGCTGAGGAATCGAACCCAGGGCCTCAGGCATGCAAGGCAAGCGCTCTACCACTGAGCCACCTTCCCAGCCCCATATCTTGGTTATTTTTGAGGTAGGGTCTCACTTGATGCCCACTTAATGAGCCTTGGCTATAATTCTTCTCGTCACAGGTGAAAGGACTGGGCCACTGCATCCCGTCATTGTGCTTTCCCTGTAGCTTCAGTATGAGGCATGTGCCACTGCACGTAGGCATTGGTGTTGAGGTGGACTCTTGTGATTGTGTGTGCGTGTGTGTGCATGTGCGTGTGTGTGTGTGTGTGTGTGTGTGTGTGTGTGTTGGCTTTGTTCTACAAGCTCCCTAGGGATTCACATATTCTTCTGAGTTTTGGGACCTATCTTATTTATATGTGTAATAACACTATCACTTGACTTTTCTAAATGGACACCATATACTTTGTCTGATAGATACTCACTCTAATCAATTTGATTCTCTTATTCTCCATTTTAGTGAATGGAACAGTTAATTATACATCCAAGTTAGAAACCTGAGAATTATCTAGAATCCTTGATATATATCAACTTTAATTTTACTGTCATTATTTGTGCATCAACTCAAAAAGGTTTTATGCTTACTTTTCTGATGTTTGTTCTCTCTATTTTCATGCATGCTTTAATAGCGTCCTAACCAATTTCCCTATTTTTCCACTTTCACCCAAGATTCTTTTCTTTTGTTAGTAGTGTTTAAGGTTTCTCTTGACATATTTCATTAGCTTTTTAAATACTTGAATAATATACAAAGTCATTCAAAACTTAATTATATGTCATTATCTATTCTCTTTTTCTCTAGTCCCATCTGGATCCTGGGTTATCCTGGTTTAGATAAGCAGAAAGCTTGAAAAACACAGAATTAGAGAAATGTTATGAAATCTGAGATCTCAGAAGAATTAGATGATCTTATCAATCTCTGGTTAAGAACTTAGCACATCACTGTTCTGATCTTTGGTTCTATTTATTTTCTACTACTATTTAGAATGAAAAGTGTGCATGTATATACATATGTATTTACATACATATATACATACATAATGTGAAAAACTTTAAGGTCCTAGGTTTTGAGATAATTGGCCTTTAATCAATGTTAGTCATCCTATATGTTTTCTTAAATTGTAGTTTGTATTGTTCTTTTAGTACAGAAGCAAGTCTGTAGAGAAGAAAGATACTGAGAAAAGAAAAAATGTAATTTGTAGGATTATGGATTTTTTCCTAAAAATCTTATGGCAAAATTTTATGACTGGGAGGTGTTAATAGTTCACTGTCTTTAATTTTCTCTTATAGGTATCTTCAGGAAGTAGGTTACACAGATACTATATTAGATGTCCGGTCTCAACGGGTAAGGTCATTACTTGGACTATCTAATTCAGAACCAAATGGATCAGTAGAAACAAAGAATTTAGAACAAATCTTGAATGGTGGTGAATCTCCTAAGCAAAAAGGACAAGAAATCAAAAGGTATGATTTGCATTTGTACGTTAACAGTGTTTAAATAAAGGACTATAAATTTCTGCAACTCCTTGTTGCTACTATTCCTTTTTTCCTGTCTTCCCTCCCCCCCGCCCCCCTTTAGTGCCATTCCTGAGCCTCAAACTCGGACCTGGGTTCCGTCCCTTAGCTTTTTTGCTCGAAGGTGGCACTCTACCACTTATTTTTTTTTTTTTTTTTT